AAAAATTTTTAGTGCAAATCTGCAAAAAATTTTAAAAAACAAAATTCTGCGCAGAATTGTATTTATTTTCTGCGAAAATAGCGATTCTTGCACGAAATTCTTTTTTGCATTATATATATTATGTAATATTGAGCAGGCAAAAATTATATAGCGAATTATTAATTGCTTACATGAAAAAGGATATGACTAAATAAAATAATATCTGTGGCCTAACAACAATAAGCCATATTTAAACAATTATAAATTTACATGCTGCAGCCAAAGCGTAATTAGTACATTGCCACAAAATATAAACGTGAAATGACAATTAAAAAAATTAAGTACAACAAAAAGTTATGTCAACTGTAGAAATTTAGTTTAACGAAATATTTAAGTTCTTTCAGCATTCAAGAATTGGCTTATGACTTTTTCAAGGCTTAGTCTAATGTTGTCTTCAATGACATTATTATTTTATTATTACAAAAAATTGATATTAAGCCTTTCATATTAATGCATAAGCCATAATTATTTATACAATATAAATGGACAAACTTCCTCCATTTTTGTTTTTTTTTTGTTTTTTTTTTGTCAAAACGCGGAATTTATGCTATGTTTTTGAACAAAATTAAAATTTTAAACCACTTTAATATTACCAAATTCTAAATTCCAAATATTCTAAATATTGTAAGGTTTTCATGTATTTTGTTTTAAAAGAATGAACTCTAATTATAGGGTGCTTCTCTTTTTGAAGAAAAGAAAACTTCAGATAATCCCGCTTGTGAACCGAATTTAATAAATAATAGTTGAATATGGTTCGAAAGGTTAGTTAGTTACAAGTTTTGCAGAATTTTTGGAATCGTATATTTTATCCTCTTTGGTAAGAGATGACTGCATTTTTTTATAGTGCTTTTCAAATTACTAATGATCATTCACCATGAAGAAATCCGAAAATTTTGGTACTTTTATACAGTAATACATCTTCAGAGAATAAGAGTGTGTAAAAAAATAAAACCCTTAATTAATGCAACAGAAGTATATGTGACTAAAAGAAGAAGAAGAAGAAAAAAAAAGAAGCATTAAATAAATGCTAATAAAGTAAATAGTGAAATCGCGCCTTTTCTTTTTTTTTTTATCAAATAAGATTGATGTTGAAAAATTAAACAGTATAAACTCAAAATGTTCATTTAATATTAATGATCATTATTATCACGGAATTGGAGATGACAAGTTACCAAGGCGTGCGAAAAATGCAGTGATAAAGAGGCAGAAGATACGAAAGAAAAGGGAACCATTAATGAAAGGAGTAATGATGGAATGCATAAGGCAAAGAACAAAAAAATTGAAAATGTGTACAACTAGTAATGAAGCACATGGAAAGATTGAATTTGGTGGTTGAGTTTCCAGTGATAAAGATTGGTGTTACTGTATGAATATTGATAAAACTTTTAATACACTTGATAAAATTATAAACTAAGAATCAAAATTTATTGAGCATTGATTTTTATATTTAATTATAATATTAGCATTTAAAGTTATTATATAGTTTTTTTTTTTATGCTAATTATTATCTTCACAATCTGCTATGTTCTCGAAATTAAATTCTGTCTCAAAAGTCATAGATATCAGAATTCGAAGTAAAAACAGAAATGAGAGTATTTTGATCCATAATATAAGACCCTTCATTGTTGAATATTTGTAATTTGTATTAAATATATCAACTTCCGAAGATAAATCAACTCGAATTGTTGTCATATTCATATTTCAAACATTGAATTATTATCGATATTATTTGCACATAGAATAAATAAAGAAAATTGTTAAATTATTTTTTTTGGCACTAGTTTTATTTTATTAACATAATGATATACTAGTTATACCAGTGTTATTGTTTGTATTTTATCAGTTTTAACTATAATATATATTACAGTATTAATATCAGTTTTATCATGTGATAAAACTCAAAACATAGTGACGATAAAACGTTATCTATCTCACAATACTAGTTAGAAGATAAGACATTAGACATTGCAATGAAAATGGAGTAAGAGTCGAAAGAAAATTCTACAGATAAGAATCACAATGGTGGAACAAATAACTCGGAATACTGAAATATTGAGGGGTGCAAAATGTTGGATTGGAAGACGATTCATCGGTCAACGAGTATCATTGCGGACAATGAATGCGGTTGTGTCGAAAGATAAATCAGAGTTGCCACGCCATGTAGTGGTAGAAAAATTGAATTCCTAAAATTCCTCAAGCGTTTTTATTTGGATCATATAATCATTGTAAATGCCTGGAGAATATAATATGTGGAAGATCGTACCCTTTCATACGTAGGAAGACAAAGCATAATCATCAACCAATCAAATCAAAAACTCAATGTGTGAATAAATTATGAAAAGTAATTAAAGTAATTCAATCTTATTTTTAATCATCGTGACCTTTATTAGATCCTTTAACCTATATACTCATACCGTACAAGCGCGAAATAACACCCACCTGCGCGTTATTTCGAGTACGCGCATGTGCGTTATAATACAATATATATATAGTATTAATATATATATAGCAATAAAAAGTAAAAATATTCGCTTCTAAGTGAAGTTCTTGAGATTAATGATTATTTTGCACTGTGAATATAGATGTTCTTTGAAGTTGGAAATGGTTTTTATAGTGATTTTTTTTAGCTATTTTCAAAAAAGTATATTAAACTGTATAAATAAGTTACCGAGCAATTGATTTACATTAACTAGTTACATGAAAGTCACCCTATGAAAGAAAGGTTCAATGCGAAGTAATAACTTATAAACCATTTATGATCATAACAAAAATAATATAAAAAAAATAGAAAAAAAATTTAGTAATTTATACGGTGCAAGAAATCTAAAGATCTTATCGTAGAAACAAAATATGGTAATTGAAATCAAATATTTTCTAAATTAACATCAAATAAAATATTTTCTAAATTAACATCAAATAAAACATGCACGTAAAACTTAATTTGAAGTCGATTTTAAGTTATACTTGATTGCATTAACTCTATAGAAATTGTAACGTATAATAAAGTTACACTTAAAATTATTCAATAAAGTTAAGAATATTAATTTCACCATTTATATTTTGCATCCTTTATATTTTGCATCGCATCCATAAGGCGTTTTAATTTTTTCACCATACAAATTATTTTTTATCTTTTTTATATTATTTTAACTAATTTAATATTTATAGGTTTTTTATCTCTTTAGATGTAACTAGAGATGTGGTAGAAACTACTACGGCTTGGCTTATGCCGTAATTAGCTAAAGCTTATTCTCACGTGTGGGAGTAACCCTCGGTCAGGGCCCCTAGAAAATTTCGGTATCATTTTGGAAAAATTGTTTTGGTAACGACCAAATATTGTTTTTTATTGCGAT